TCTAAATACTTATGCATTAGATGCTCTAGGACTTAAGTGATCTGTACATATAGGAAAATGCAGAAACGGACACTTGTTTGGCAGGGAGGGGTGGCCCAGATAAGGGCAGTTTTACTGCTGCTCTGTCATGTGCCCCTCGGTGACTCCTTTGACCTTAGTCTGGCTCCTCCGCCAGCACCCTGGGATAACACCACAGATATCTCCTCTGTAGACAACTTGGAATGGCTTTCACAGGAGAACCAGAGGAGCATCAAAATGGCACCGAGGGCAATTGAGTCCCCTCTGCACTGTCTGTGTAAGAGGATTAAGGCTTTTAGGTGTTTCTAGGTTATTTAATGTCTTTTTTTTTCCCTGTCAGTTTAGCATAGCATTAAGTGTGGTATTTCTTATTGGCAAAAGCTGTGTTTGATTTAAAAAATAGTATTAATACAATCCAAATCTGTTTAAAAGTATCAATTAAATACCACTCTATTTTTGTTTCTCACTATGTCATGTTTAATCTTGGTGTTTCTGCAGTGCAGAGCAAAGATCCTGTCAGTTTATCTGAAAAGGCCTCAAGGTGTTTTGATCCAAATCTAATCCACTGCAGAAAGCAGAAGAGTTGCACAATAGAGAAAATGATTGCATTTGAGAAGCGAGCTTGTTTAATGAAAGATATTAACATGGTTAATTTGTAGAGAGATTTCTTGTATTTGAATGTGTTCTGTGGACTATGGATCTAGGTAAAAGTTTGGGTTTATGAATTAATGTACTGCTACTAATCTATACCACCATCTCATGTCAGCTAACTAGCGTTTTTCCTGTATTTCTGCATTAGACCAATGCATAGAGATCAAAGGATGGGATTTTGTCCAATGACACAGGAAAATAAATACCCATTTTGCCTGACCCTGGTCCTGCTGAGTTACACTGGCCCTTTCCAAACAGAAGGCTTTAAGTGACTTGATAAGACGCAAGAGAAGGGCAAAGGTGATAGAAGAGCTCCAAGTCCTGCCTCTGAGTTGTTGGCTTTTATCACCGCGTCTCCTTCCCACCAGTGTCTTATTTTCTGGCATGGTAACAACACATCTCTGTTAAAACGTTTGGGGTGAAGACTTGGGTGCAGAAATTTAATATTACGTCTCCCCGAGATGCGATATGCTGATGCTAGAACCACATACATGGTTACGACTTAAACAACCACCCTCCCAGCCTGCAAACACAGAGTTCAGTTTGATTCGTGTGGTTGTAGGAAACTGCATCCCCCTGTACAAACCATCAGTTCCTTTCCCCAGCCTTATCCTGTGCTCTCAGCTTTAACTTTTCCTTCTACAATATTTTCTTGACGCCTTTACCCGTGTGCTCTAGTCCCAAACAAAACTCTTATGGACTTACTGTCAGGATGATTGAGACCAGACCCAGAGTTATTTTAAGTGAGTGATAGGTTTCATTCTCTGAAATAATTTTATCATTTTGAACAGAAAAAATCCAAGTAGATAATTGTTTTAACTATTTTTTTTCTAAAGACTTGGCCAATCATGCTGTCCTGATGTGATGAGCATGTGAATTCTTCATTTATTTTTCTTTAAGTGATCTTTTGTGAAGTTCCCTCAGAAATGTCCTTCTGGTATATAGGACCAATTAATGGCATGTGGACCAATATCCAGAACCAATCAATGACATGAAATACTTGGGATGACTTCTTTTAAGCTTTAGGATACTTTTACTGTCTTAATGAGAAATTTTGGAAGCAGGTAAATGTGCAAAAAGCTTGTCTATTAAGATAGAGAATCTGTAGAAAATGTCATTCTTCAGCTTAGTACTACACTCCTTAAAGACTTGTGCAATTTCTGTGCTCTTCAGTCTGGCATGTAGTGCATGTGCCTGTCTCATGGAGGGAAATGGCTGCAGCCCTGTTCCTGTGCTGCTAATAGCTGTAGAAAAGGTTCATGTCCAGAGGAATCTGGACCAGCTGGCTAATACAACCCTCAAATACTGCTGTCAGCTCTATAAGATTCCCAGTTCCATATTCCACCTACACATTTTTATCTTGGTCAAGCAAAAAAATAAAAACCCCAATCCTTTTATCAAACAGTCTTGCAGAACCCCCTATACCCCCCTGCACTTACCAAAGCGGGTTGCTGTTTCCTCCTCCTTTCCTTGGCTGAGTTTAACTCGAGGGGCTCCTGCACTCTTTAAATGCAGTGGCCACCACTGTTGGCCCTATAAGCTGGGAGGGGAGGGGAATGAGAGGGATCTGAGCAATGCCATGGCTATCATCGGTCTGAAAATAACCTCTGACAAAAGCCTGGCATTTTGTTCCTTGCGTGCGCTCGTGAGCTGGGGGGCTTGCACCTGCAGGCGTTTGTAAATGGGCTCCGATGGATCCTGAGCAAGGACTGAAACGTTATCGTCGCAATTAAAGGCCTTAAATGTGAATCACTAAACAGCGCTTCCTGGAATGAGTCATAAATGATTGCATTGCCAAAAATAATCCAACAAAATGATTATAAAAATCAACAGCTGATTGTAGGGACCTCTGGGACTCAACAGTCTTAAAGCAAATCGAACCAGTGAGTAGTTCATAACCTTGTATCTGCTAAAAGTTTTAGAGTAGGGGTTTTATGCTTATCACTTTTAAATTTATGCTTCTTTTAAGCACTATGACTGGTAGCTAATATTAGCATATTTAATCATTGCATCTATAAGTAATCGCCAGAGCTCACTGAGCCCCTTGGAAATGCATGATACTTCAGCCAGTTTAGAGATGGGGAGAGTGAAATGTAGAGAGGTTTAAGTTCATTTCTTTAACTGCTTTACAGGTTTAGAGGGTAAAACTTGTTTTGAAGGGACTTGAAATAGGAGAATTAGGACTTGAAATTGGAGAAATAGACTTGAAATAGGCAACTGATGTGTGCAGATGCATTAGTGTTCATATTCCTGGTGGTGCAGGAGTGTGGTATTTTCTGTAGATCAAAGGTGGAGATGCTGCTTGGAAAACTGGAATGCAGCCTATGAAAACCAAAGCCAGTCTGAAGATCAGAGGAGCTTGCCTAGAGGTTGGCAGTGGAGTAAATCAAGGAGTCGGGTCACGTTTGAGAGGTGGGAAGAGCAGTGAGCTCAGCTAGTTGGAGTGAAACCTGGCTCTTCTGGGTGATCAAATACTTTGAGGAGAGAAAAGGAAGCCTTTCTGCCTGCAAAAGCAGGAGAACAAAGTGAAGGGCTGGCTGTTATAGAGCCCACGTGAAAACCCAAGCAACTGTGTTTCAACAGGGGCCAAGGGACGCTCTAGAGCAAGCTGGAATAAGCATTCAGCCTTTTGCAGCAGGGCACAGGAACTGTGGCAAGAGCCTTCTGCAAAACCTGGTTATTACATTTCTGCCTACTGCAGTGTCCCCCAAAAATTGAAGTTTTGAAGTTTATTTCCTTTGCATAATGCAAGTTTCTATAGATCTTTGTCCTTACTAGAGAAAAACTGATAGAAGAAAGTGTGAGGAGGGTACATCTCTAATTACACTTAAAGGAGAACAGAAAAGGCTCTGCTCACTGCTGCAGTGAAGTGCTCTCTTTTCCAGCTTTCACTTCTTTCCCCATCAAGTAGCAGCCTTGCACTAGCTACCCTATTCAGTCAGATCTGTTTTGTATTATCCAAAATTGCTCGTATGGCTAAAAAGCAAGCCAGCTAGCTAGAACAACTAGCAGTTCAGCCCTACTGTCTCACACAGCCCAGGTCTGAAGCCCAGGTTTTGCTTTGGTGCTTTCAGAAGTTTTCCTCCCAAACTGCATGCGCAGCTGGTGCCAGCTGCTGTTTCACAGCCCATCCAGGGGGACTGGATGGGTGCTTCACAGAGCACAAGCCCTGTGGGTCCTGCAGTGAACAAGCTCTTTTGGCAGAGAGATGAATTTTACACTTTGACCCTCCAGTAGGAGAGGTAATAGAATTGAAAACTGAAGATAGAAGTGCAGCTTTAACTGAAATTTTGCCTCAGGAATTCTCAAGCAGGAAATTGTACCATGAATAATATATATATCATCCCTCTGAATCCTGAGTCTCAGAGGAGAACAGAGGCAAAGCAGGGTGGGTTTGTGGTTAGGATTTGGTCTGCCCTGTGTTTCCTGGGAAGCAGGAGTCCCTGCTGGCATTCAGCTTCCATTCTCACTGCAGGTGTGTTGCTCTCAGCTGAGAGAGTTAAACAGAACCTATGTAAAATCTCAGTTTTGTGGCATTTAATCTGCATGTTGCAGAAGACTTAAGTGGGACAAGGTTGCTTTGAACTCCAAACCTCATAAATCTTTTTCTCTGCTCCCTGTTGTAATCTCTAGGGTTGATTCAGAAAGTCTAATCTAGTTACTTTTAAAATAAATTGGGGGTGAAATGGCTCTTTCTTCAGAAGACAAAGATACTTCTGGCTAAGAGATGCTAGTGATTGTGCAGTGTGCTACTTAACTCTGTTAATTTAATTTGATTAAACAAAAAAACTGTCAGAAGTTGACAGTGATGGAAGCTTAATCAGAATGAATTTATTTAAAATACAGTATAAATAATTCTTAACTTAATCAAGTTTATGTAAAATTTCATTTTTGTTGTTTTTACTAACTTTACAAAAGAGCATTATTGAACAAAGAAGCAAAAGAAACTAACTATGGCCTTTTTGTTAAGACATAAAATATTTACATGCTCACAGTACTTCCTTTGTGCAAAATATGCACTGACTTATAGACTGTACCTTTCTGTACAAGGTACATTTCAGCTTACTTTGCATAGCAGAAAAGCAACACAGAAAACATTAGATATGTAACTTGGTTGCTGAGACAGTTTAGATAAGCCTTTTTCAAAAAATTATTAGACATTAACTTTCTCAGAGCTGCTTTAAGTCCGAAAGTATTGATTAAGGCTATTCCAGTATTGAGGTCTTGTCAATACATGTCCAAAATAAACCCTCTCCATCATATGATCCAAGATGTGTGGAGTGTTATTAGTAACTGTCTGCTAACACACTCAGCGATTCAATATCCTGAACTCAGTCTTCTGCCACTTCAAGTTTTCTTTGAGGAATGTACAAGGTTCCTTGAGAAATTGCATCCGTACCATCTGAATTTGCAGAAAATGAAGATACTGTGTTTGGCCCTCCTGGTGTGCGGAAAAAGTTTTCTTTCACTGCGTGGAGCTCTTGGGGTTCCTTTGGACCACTTGGCTAAAAAGATGAGAAAGAAAATTATCTTCACTTAAACGTGAATTCTAACTTTAGGTTTCTTTTTTTTTTTTTCTCATTTAAAAACCTAACAGCTCTTTACTGAGAAGAGTGTATCTATTCTTATTTTTTATATCTCTGTGTTTAGAAAAATATCTGCTTTTGTAATCTCCTCCTATCTCCTTTTTTAGTATAAACATATCTTAGGCAATATTATATTGCCTAAGGTAGGCATAAAAGTGTAGATTTCTTTCTATGGATTTTTGGTTAGTCCTCTGTCAAGCTTATCTAGTTAAAAGGAAAAACAACATAAGTCTTTGGGAATAAGAGGAGAGTAATGAGAAGTAACAATTGGAAATTCTGTAAATAGATGTTCTCTCAGATGTGTCCACAATATCTTTAAGAGTTCCTTTCATATTCTGTCATCCTTCAACTAAGCTGGTTCCACTTCCCCCCAAGAAAAATGATCCTTGCTTGTGCTTTCTAGCCTGTAATATGCTTGCCTTCATTGCCTATTACTCCAGCTTTTTCACAGCACTGCTGAATTTTAAGTAAGATGGAAGGGGGCGGGGGGAAGTAAACTGTGCTTTCAAGGTCCAGGAAATTGCAAAACCTTTTTTTACTTACCTTCTCGTCTTTCAAGTTTATGTTTTCTGAGCTATGGCTAACACTTTCTGGGTTTGAGGAGATTGTCAGGTGCTGAAGAACAGGATTGGCAGGGACGTGCACCCCAGCAGGTATCAGTCCTAACTGTTGCAGCGTGAAGTTCAGAACTGAGGAGCCTGGGGCCTGGGCAGAGCTTGTGGTGCTTGAAATGATGCAGGAGTTGCTCAGCACAGGTGCAGCAGCTAGAGAGGTGGGCGACAGCATTATGTTCAAGGGTGTTATATGGAAAACAGGAATGTTAACTGTTTTCAGCTCAGGTGCTGTCACGGGAATCACACCTAAAGACAAAAAAAATGAAGAAGGGGATTAAAACATGACGCTGAGACCCTTGCAGTGTGATACCATGACCTGGGTGGGATAAGTTTATCCTTCAGTTCTGCAGGACAGAACTCTACGTATATTTAATTCAGTACTCACCAGCAATGGGGGAGCCGTAGGTAGCATGTTGTAACAGGCACATTCCAGCTTTCTCTTTGTTGCAGAAACCTGCCTTGGTGCCATGGTGGATGCACTGAGGAAAAGGAATAAGATAGCGAGATGGAAAAGAAGTCTGGAAGAGAAAGATACAATCACTTGTACTCAAATATGTTGTAAGCAGCCTTTTTGAAGTCATTCCCTAGAGCTGCAGTCCTGCTCTCGCCCTTAGTTCTTTATCCTCCCTGTTCCCAGGACTCTCTATTCCATGCCCTGTACTACCCTCAAGCTTGAAGTCAGACACCACTGACTCAAAGCAGCAATGCCGAAAATAAGACCACCATCTTCTGTGGCAGTCAGCTGGCTCTGTTCCCAGCAGACATCCTCGCTAAGGGGCTGGAAATCCGTTCCGCATTAACACGCTGCAATTAGACACAGCAGAACTCTGGATAATGAGTCCTTTTTTCTAACAACTGAAACATCTAGACCCAGCAATCACTGTGTCACCGCGTTCTCGCACTGTGGTTTGGTAAGACACGTCCTTGAAGATGGCACTCTTTTGTACTTGCATTTACACATTCTGCTTTTGTTGACAAAGCTGCCCTTTAATGCAGCTCTTTATAGCAGCAAGTCTAATTGCAGAATATTAATTTTTACTAAAATATAAAAAACTCTATGGGGTTCTGCCATAAAGTATTTTATGGGAAGATACAGAATCTCAACAGTACTTCATCTAGTGAGTTTTAGTTACCATCTTCATGCCAGCCATCTCATTTCCTCTTATTTGTGTACTTAATGCAAAATAGAAGAGTACTAGAGGAAGTTTGGAAAAGCAGATTGAAAAATAATTCACAAAAATGAAGCTATGCCTGTACTGATTAGAGTTTTGCTTCTCTGGCAAAGAGTGCTCCTGGAAGCAGTGGTTTCAGGCCAAGTTTTGATGCACTGTGGTACCCAACAGGAAGTTTACCTCAGGAGCAGGAGTGGCAAAAGTCAAAGGTATTTCTTGTTTAGCTTTGGTTCTATCCTCCTCTTCTGGAATGGCTTCTCTCTTGCATTGGTCACAGCAACCTGCCACATTTTGATCCGATTTTTCAACTTTGTTTTGTCTCTCTTTCTGGGAAGTGTCTGTTTCATGCTTAACCTGCAAACCATTAGAAGGCAGTTTTTCCACTTTTAATGATTCTCCCTTTAAAAAAGTACATATAAAAACATAGGCAGATGTGGCAAGAGACAGGCTTTGCAGCCTCAGTTACAGGTCTCCAATAATATTTATTCCTTCTCTGTTATCCCCTCTTGTTCCTTTTTTTGCAGCTGGTGGATGTTTGATGCCACTGACATTGTCCCAGCACACACTGATAATGTTTTATGGCTGCAATGTTATTCAAAACACATTTTATTATTCCAAATGCATTTGCATTAGCATGCAATAGCAGACAGCTCAGTTTTCTTTTATCTGTTTTCATCCCCTCCAAGATTATTCCTCCAAGGTATAGGAACAGGTATTCTCAAATGGCAACACAAAGTGTTGTTTTATGTTGCAAAGTTTCTGCAAGTTTGTAGCACAAATGCTCTTAAAGTCAACTAACAGATTATGTCTTTACAAGGTTGCTCCTCAACCAAGCTTTATGATGAATTTATAAATTTTATATCATCTGATAAGATCTCAGATGATTTTGAAAAGAGTAGGTGGCACCATCATTAAGCTATAAAATGGGATTAAGAAAAAAATTAACTTACCAGAGGAGTATCTGGGCTCTTGTCATCACTTCTACACCTTTTAATCAGACTATTTTCTTCTAATGCTTGTGATCTTTTAAGGCACTTGTGGGACACAGTTTCAGGCTGTCCAGCTGGTCTGTCAGTAGCCGCCAGGACACTTCTGGGCTCTTCTTTCGCTACGTGATCCTCTCCTCCCGCCGTGGTGGGTCCATTGGGTCCTTTGGAATCGATGCTTTTGCTCCCAGGGGCGTTGGAGCAGGGTAGAGGCTGCAGCACGAGGCTGGGGCTGTACGTTGGCCCCGCGGGCGCTTGCGGCGGGTGCAAGTAGAGGGCGTACGAGACGCCCGCCTGGGCGGGGGGCAGCAGCACCGGGGCCAGCGGGGGCGAGCGCGGCGCGCAGCCCAGAGCCCATTGCCCTGGCGTCTCCTCTGCGCTCCTAAACACCAACCGGGAAGTCAGGGACAGGTACACCGAGCCCCCGCAAGGCATGTTTGCCCTTGCAAATCACCGTTTGCCAAATCAAGGCTTAACCAATCCGTGATTCTCCATCCCCCAAACAAAATATAAAAAAAATAAAGTACTATCAGGGGCTATTGATTTTGAGACTATTGCCCAACTCTGGCTTGAGTGTAGCTTAAACTTAAAGGCCAGGGGCCAACATAAAGCTTCTCCCCATAACACTTGTGTAAACTTACTTTGCTTGTCCTTCGAGGTGATGTTTAGAGATAGCTGCAAGCTGAGCCATTTTACTTGGGACAGTTGATAAATTTTCATCACTACCTGGTTGGAGAGGGAAAATAAAACAAAGCCAATAATACATCAGCTTTGGAAGTTAAATTCAGGCTTCAGACTGCATTGTTTATTGCAGTACACACGTTTAATGAGAAGACAATAAGGCTCTGTTATCAAACTGCAGCCCAGCCTTGATTTGATCAGAGTAAGTCTTACATCAAGTAAGTTGTAAAGTCTCGGGTCAAGGGTTTTTTTCTGTTTGTTTGGTTGGTCTCAAAGACAATATATACCAAGAACATGAGCACTGAGCACTGATAGGAAAATTTCTGGCAATTTTGCAGAACAGATTAGGAAAAACCTAAAAAAGGATAGTTTCCATAGCAAACTACATTCAATTCATGGAGAATCAGCAATACTACACGAACAAAGTTTGTAGCCAAAAGCATATCTTAAAGTCAAAGTAATATGTTTTTAAAAAGAGGTTGTTTTCTGCTTAAACTGTGGCTCAGGTACTATTGCACCTCTAGTTTGTTCAGCCTCAAAAGAGGAGACAGTCTCCTCCTCTGTGCTGGATTTGGGCCAGACCTAAATGAATGCATTTACATTATTGTAACTGTTCAAGCAGTGGCTGAATTTGATCCATCAAACTGAAAAGAGTTTCTAGTAATTGCACAGCTTATTCACTAAATGTGGATCATTTTAGATTTATTTTCACTGTAAGTTTTGCCAGCTCTTAGGTTTACCAGTGCTACTTCTCACCCATCTGGTCCTATTTTTGGCAGTTCTTAAAACATGCTTATGTTGTAGGCCTGCTTACCCACACACATTTATAGCTCCCACAAGAAGGTGGTGAGCTTAACTGTTCAATGCAAGACCTTTCCTCCGAGTTAAAACCATACTCAGAAGGGTACTGTTTGTGCTACATACTTGCGCTTATTTTAACGGGACTGGTCGGAGCAGACTGGATCTTCCTTCTGTCATTTTCTATACTTTTAACTAACTTTATTAGAGATGGGTGCCGTGTAAAGGTTTGCTTGACTCTTGAAGGAAAAAGATTTTTTGAACACTGCTCTTTAGAAGTGATGGATTTGGAGATATGTGGGACCCAGGTTGCAGAGGTGGCTTCAAGTTTTGTGTCTAAAAGCAGAACAAAACAAAGAGCAAATATCAATTACTTGAAGCATCGGTAATTAAAAGCAGCTTCTTGAGCCTGTTTTATAAACATTAGAGTACCAGTAGCATCAAAAACTGAAATGTGGAAGTCTTGATAAGGAAATGTACCCTGCCTGAAGATATCTGTTTGATATACTACTGTATATACTAGCAAGCTGTATTGTCAGAGATGAAGTACAGCGCTGTAACTATCAAAGACCTTCTCCTTCCTTTACACTGTCCGTTCATCTAGAAAGATTTTCTAGAGATGCAGACAAAGGAATGATGAAAATCATCAGCAGGACAGACAAACTGGAACATTCACCTACCCCGAGCATTTGACAAGACCTCAGGTCCTGTCCACTTGAATGCCGGTTTTCTACCTCTTTCCTCTGTAACATGAACTTTCTTGATAAGCTCAAGGCTGCTGAGAACATTTGCTATGTCGTAAAGTCTCCGAATCTTGGCTGAAACAGAAGAAGCAAATGTGAACTTTAGCACTAGTTTCCTTAGTGTGAAGTACCATCTATCAGATTAAGAACAGTACGACAATCTTGTAGCAGCAGTCCAAAAACTGTAAAGTTTCTTTAGGAAAACAATTTAGGGGAACTGATATTTATGCTATGAAATAACATACTGCAATGTAAGGTTACTATTTAAAATGGATTTACACAGGAAACATTTAAAAATAATATACTGATAAGAAAAGATAAGGTATTCCTCCAATAGTTAGGAAATGAAGCCTCTGGGAAATGAAGCTCTGAGCAAAACCAAACCTATACAACTTCCATAGAGAAAACAAGTAGCTTAAGAAGCAGGTATTGATAGGGGAAGGGTGAATATGGGGTTGTGGAAAACACCCCCCAGGATAATCACCCTGCATGTTGTTCTTAGCTGTTCAGGCTAAGCCATTAGGAGCAAGTTTTAGGCAGCAGTCAAATTACAGCTGAATTTTTTGCCTGCAAAATGAAATGTGCTTAACTCAATGTTTCTGCTGGCAAAAAAATGTCTAGCAAGTCACGGGACAGGGAAAGACTTGCCTGAAAACACTTCTATTGTGAGACAGATGTTAACAGAGGAAGGAGAAAGAGCAAGGCCATAAACTACGGGTGATTTAGAGCCACCCACCCACTCTATGTTGCCATGATGTAGTGGAAAAGTAGTTATGAACTGAAAGTGCTGAGGATCAGTTTTCTTGTTCCATTAATAGTTTCACCAAATACATAAATAAACTGCACTGGAATCTGCTTGAGAATCCAGGAAGGATGAAGTTTGCATTGAAGCACAAAATTCATTCTTAGTCCCTCAAGAGCAGGCAGCTTTTTAGATATGAGCATCCAGGCTTGGACCTAGAAGTACCTTTTCATTTGAATGGGAAGGGGGAAGTGAAAGAACTGAAATCAGGTTAAAAGAATGAAGAAACAATTGGCAGTTAAAACATTAGTTTTCACTTCCTCTCACAAGCAAACTATTAACAGGCCTTCTACAAAATGTCTTTAGATTTCTGAACAGCAAGTTGTATGACCAGAAGACCTATTTGCATGATGCTGGGACATTTTTGTGTACTGATGCTGAAAATCTTTGACAGATCACTTGAGGAAAAAAAGAAATCCTCGTGACATTGCTGCTTGGAGGAAGGATTTAGAGGATTTTCCTTCTCTCCTGTGGCAGGTATGAATGACTATGCTCAAGTCAGTCCTGATTGAAAACTAAGGAAGGAGTTCAGCAAGTTTCCGGAAACTCAAATATTTATGTGAGGAAAGAGATCTTTGTATTTTACAATCTGAAACCTTGTATCAGAATAGTTCATTTAACTTACAGAAGATATCTGTATTTAGAAGATGAAAAAGCAGACAGTGTGAGCAGCATTTTACTTACTTTTGAATTTGCTTTTACCTAAGTCTTCAAACTGGTCTTCTCCGATTAAGATTTTAGCAGCAACTTCAAGGCTTACTATTTTAGGAGTTGACACAAGAAACAGCATCACAAATTTCTGGCTCATCACTCGTAAAGACTTGTCTTTCCTGCTATTTACTGATGCTGTAGCAGACCGTGGAAAGGATTAAAGCATTAGATGACACCAGCTGCAAACAGTCTGAAAACACTCAAGAAATATTTGGCAGTAACAATTATTATAAAGAACAAACAACACAGCAACTAGTCATGAACAACATGAATGCCAGGATTATGTCTCTAAAGTCAGATATTTGCAGGAATACTAAATCTTAAGAATGAAGAAGAGGGGGTGGCATTTCCCCTTGACCGTTCCTGTCATCTGACTAGTTGTAAACCTAAAGGCTTCTTAATTGCAGACTTAACAGTCCTTAATGAATGTTTCTTCCATGATTTTTTAAAAAAATTCATGAGGTAGTTTATACTTTTAACATCCAATGGTAACAAGCCACACAATTGTATGTCATATATAAAACAATAGATTTTTTTTAGTTTCACCTGAACAACCTCATTCTTGCACCATAAAAACAAAACAAAAACTTGTATAAGAATTATATGATTAAGACAGCTGAAAAAGTTAGTGCTTTTCAGGCAGTAGTATTTAAGAAAGAAAAAAGCCAATAAATATTATTTCCAAGTGCATAGATGCTTATAACTACAGGCACATATAATTCCAGACTTTATACAGAAATATTACCAGCACGAAATTCCATCCCTGGGAGCTCAACAAAGCACATTTCTGAGTGCTCAACTGAGCCAAACGATCTTGCCATTTCTTCATTTCCTTCTCCATCCGTGTCAAATTCATGCTCGTACTCTCTCTTCTTGAGCATCTCTATTTGTTGTGTATATTTGTTCTCTTCTCCAACTTTTTTCAAGGTTTGCAGGGTTTTGGTGAGGTTGTGTCGCCCGTGCCAAGCGTATCTGTTCTTGGCAAGGCGGCTCACCATGTGTAGGCTCTCAAGCACGTTCACAATATCATATATGCGCCTACGTTCAACATCTGGAAAAGGAAAAAAAGGGGGGGAGGGGAAGGCATCAGTAGGACATATCATTCCCTGAAGTACTGGTTTACACATGAAAGGGATCAGTTTTCTGCATTGCCCCCTACTTTAAAGTCATTTGAGCCGATTCCTCCTAACAAAATTTTCCTGAAAATTTTATAAAAAAAATCTTTTTATATGTTCTCCTGCAAAGAAACAATGGGTTTTTCCTCTTGTCTGTCAAATTACAATTTTTGACCAGTCATTTTTTAAAGACGGTTTGCGATTTTGTACGGATAATGAAATGCAATAGATGTTTCGGTTTGATTTGTGGTTCACCTCTCTTCTGTGCCTCCCAACATATCTGAAGATGCACTGACAGCAAAAACTTTGATAGCAAAATTTGTAACTATTAACAGCTTCATAATCTGTATGCATACTGCTGTAACTTCAAATACTGCTGTAACTTCATAGCCCTCACAAACAAGCTGCAGACTGGCAACTTACACTTCAGTTAGATCGCTGATGAAAATAGTCAGTGATATAAAGTGACAAAATTGGTTAAATTATCATAGACAGCAGAAAGTGTCTTCTTGCTTTGATGTCATGATTGCAGCAGAAGTTAAGGGTTCAGTTTGAGGAAGGTTGTCTTGTGCCAACCCCTGATCTTAAGCTTCATTCCTAGACAACCAGAAGTGCAGCGTGTTACTCGTACTATCACTAATAATAATAATTTTGTGTTTGATATTAAGAAGAATCCAGAGTTCTCAAGTCTGTTCACTGAAGAAACTTCAGCCCCTTAATACAGTTGCTGTAAGAATGGACAGCTTAAGGCCAGGTTTAAAGGAAAGTTGGGAATATGCAGTAAGCATTCAACTTTTACTGAGCAAGAATGTCCTCAATAGCACTCGTAGGCTTCCTGGCATATCCCTAAGAATAAGCCTATAGTGGCATATAGTATACAGAGACTTACTAAGCTCTTCTGCTACTTCGTCAAGGCAGATGTAATTATTCTCGACGGTGCTGGGATAATCGGGATATCGAGCTAAGAACTTGTGACACAGCAAGCCCAGGCTTTTCTCTTTGCGGCTTGGTTGAGATTTTTCGTATTCGTCTCCAGATAACTGCTCCTGTACGCAAATGAGAAAGAAGGCAGCACAGTAAATAACGCCGTTGATCCATAACTACGTATATTTGACAGCCCAGCCCTCCACAGCTTGAAGGAAAACCAGCAAATCCTCATCTGCTAGATGTAACAGGGCAGCATTCCTATTTTTAGGGTAAACACCAAGGTTTGCGGCGCAGCCCCCACCCAAGCGAAGGGTAAAGGAGGCCGACCCCTTCCCAGGGTACCTGGGAGCAGTG